TTTGCAAACTGAATAGATACGAGAGATATTGGTACGTCCAGAGTATAAGAATGTTAGATAATCCATCAATTCTTTGACAAATTCTCAATGATTGACCAAAGAAAGTATATCAGGCTCAATGGAATTTCGAATTTGAACGAGCAATTTTGCATCATCACGTAACCACGCACGATTAGTATCATCTTTGACATCGCCTGTGGGAGGACCCGAATCCAAGTGTTGTCCTTGTCAATACTACGGAGGTGGACAATAATAGTTTTACTCCATCAGAGGAAATTAGACCCATTCAATTTAACATCGGTGATTTTATTCATAATAGGGACGATTTCAGACACAATTTTATTCGCAGCCATAAGAACCCGAGTGAACCGAATTTAACAGAAGGGCTGAAATTAAGAAAAATTCAACCTGTCACCAAGGGGTCACTGAAACCCAAAACTGAGAACACCAACAGGTAGCCTGAAGAATTCCGAGCGGACGGACGTTCGCCAGAAAAATTTCCGGCCAGACACGCGCCCTCACGCGCCGGCGCGTGAGACAAGCTGCAGGTGGTTGTGGCGGCGCGTGTTCCTCACACGCGCGGATTCTGCCGGCGATCTTTCACCGGATGGCCGGTCCGGCGACGACGAGTCTGGAGGTACAGGAGGTGAGACCCCAAACTCACCCGAAGTGTGTCTACTCTAATCACAAAAGAATTTTACTAAAATTTTCAAAAAACCTTAACTTTATTTTGGTTTGGCTCTGATGCCATGTAATGCTATTAAGCTTGAATGTTATATTCCACTATGAAGATTACAAGATATATATACAAGCCAAAAGAGATGAAAGAAAGGAAAGAAATCAAATGACCTAATCTACGGGATTTACCAAATCACCTAATTGATACATCTAATCTATACCATGTTTACATTAACAACACTTACTATGAGAATTTTGTCATTGTTCTTTGTCGATGTGTATTATTTATGGTTGATACCACTTTTGAAATGTTCATTCAGTTTACTTACAACACAGCTTGCCAGGTTAATGCCCATGTAAAAGCACTCAGAACCCTGTGCAAAAGGAAGGCCTTAAACCAAGCAGAGGGCGACTACCTTGTAACAAGATGGGTGGACCAGCTTCAATCTAAAGCCTCCAAAGTTCTAGATTCGTACATGTCAAAATTAACAGGTTCCGATAAAGAGAACGCTTTTCTCACCCCACATAACACGGGGAGTCGTAAAACACCAAGAAAAACCGATTCGAAGTTATTAGCTAAAGCAGTTATTGCTGTTTACACTATTGGATCACTGGTTATAGTCTGCCCTTCATCCGATTTAAAGACTATTGTTCCAACCATACACACCATAATCACTTCAAGAAGTTCAGATTCTAAATCTAGCAACTTACCTGGGCTTGTAGTTGATATAAAGCAGATTGCCCCGTCATTGTATATACAAGCGTGGCTCACAATGGGAAAGATTTGCTTAGCTGATGGGAAACTTGCTAAACGTTATCTTCCTCTGTTTGTGCAGGTACATTTCAAGCTCACAGCTCACGGCTTTTTTCTTTCAAACAAGTGTAATTGTGTATGGAAGTTAGCAGCGTCTTTATGCCTCATTTTTGAAAATAGAAATGAAGGTCGTTTGTTAAATCAATTGCAATAAGTGATAAGCTTGCCATTCTTGTATGATTAATTGGCTGTATAATTTGTCACTCATTTAATTTAGAAGACTATTTGATGCCGGTAATATATGTGTCATATAGTGATTACTAATTGCGTACAAACTTTTATTCTCTCGTTCCATTTTTACATAACCAGGAGCTTGAAAAGAGTGATTGTGCTGCACTTCGCAATAACACAGTTGTCATGATGGCAGATTTCTGTGTGCGGTACACAGCAATGGTTGATTGGTGAGGACTGTCAATGATTACTTATTCTTAATATTGATTCTCCAGGCAGCTATTCAATATTTCTCCTTTTTCAAATCTCAAGTGGTTGATTGGTGAGGACTGTCAATGATTACAGACGTTTATTCTACTCTCCCGCCTGCTGCAGGTACATGTCATGTGCCACAAAACTGATTTCAAGAGTATCAGCTTAAAAGTTTCATCATTTATCTTTTTGATAAAATCTTTGCTACAGAGGGATTACGTGAAGTGGAGAGGTGTGCTTTTCCTCAGATTTCTACTATGCTTGGTTGACGAGTCAGAGAAAATACGGCAGCTAGCAGATTTCCTCTTTGGGAACATCTTGAAAGGTGATTGATTTTGTACTAACTTATCCTGCATTTCGGAAGTTGGCATCATTTTATCTTTTCGATTCACATATCTCTTTTTTGTCCCTTTTTGCAATTCCTATTTGCAGCAAAGGCTCCGCTTTTAGCTTACAACAGCTTTGTGGAATCTGTATTTGTCCTAAACGACTGTAATGCGCACACTGGACGCAGCAATTCGAACAGTGCGCGCAATGAGAACCGTCTCTTCTCGATTAGGTTCGTCTGCTTTCCAATCTCAAGTGTGCAATATTGTAAGGTTAAGGCAAGGCACTAATGATACTTTATTTTGCTAATGATTTTTAAATAGAGGAAATGATGAGAAGTCGAGGTCGCAAAGAATGCACATTTACACGACGTTGCTTAAACAAATGGCGACAGAGCACCTTTTGGCCACGTTTGCCAAAGTGTGCGCTGAGATTCTTGCTGCTGCATCTGACGGTATGCTCTCTCTTGACGATATTACAGGCCAGGCTGTTGTTCAGGTAAAATCTTTTGCAGTCACTTTTATTTTCATTTTCGGTATTAATTTTTTCTTTCGACAAAATAAAGTTTGGAAAAAAGTGACCTTTCTCATATTAACTAACAGGACGCCTTCCTTGTCCTGTCGAGCAAAGAAATCCGAATCCAGTCGAGCCACGGCCCATCATCATCATCCTCGGAGGCAGTGGACATGGAGGATGAAGGCCCAGACAGCAACCCGAGAGGCGGTCGGGCCATAACCCAAGCCGTGCGCAAGAGCCTCGTTCAGAACGCGATTCCGATCTTCATCGAGCTGAAGCGCCTGTTGGAGAGCAAGAACAGCCCACTTATGGGGTCTCTCATGGACTGCCTGCGGGCCCTGCTCAAGGATTACGAGAACGAGATAGACGAGATGCTGGTGGCTGACCGGCAGCTCCAGAAGGAGCTTGTGTATGACATGCGCAAATACGAGTCGACCAGAGACAAATGCACGCAGGGGGATTGTGGGGCAACGGTGAGGTCCGTGCTGCGGGAGGCAAATGGCACGCCGCTGGGGGCAATGAGTGTGCCCAAGCTCAAGACGAAGACGGGCGGTGATGGCAGTGGTGGGGGGAGGATGGCGGCGGCGCCGGAGGTCATGGAGTCTATCAAGAGGCGGCAGTGTTTTGATTCTGATGATGAGAGCTGATTTTTTTTTTCTTGGTGGTCAAAATTTGGATGTGAAGAAATGAGCGATCTTACTTACAAATTGTGGTGTAACTAATGTATGTTCTATTTTAATGAACTAGGAGTAATGCGTGGGGCTGCAAAGGAGTCGAGCCGAGTCGTACATTGACCTTATCGAGCATGATTGAATTTTTTTTTTTTTTTTAGCTGCTTGAGCTTGAGCTCGATTTTTTAGGCTCGAGCTCAACTCTATAAAAAATTGCAATAGCTCAAGCTCGGCTCGAGCTCGACTCGAATCCAAAATGCTCGAGCTCGACTCAAGATCGACTCGGAATCAAAATGCTCGAGCTTGGCTTGAAAATCTGTAAGTGGAAAGGTAAAAGTACCATTAAACACATATGTTAGTATATATAAGGAGTATTTTAGTAATTTAGCGTGCATCTTGAGCCGCTTGACAAGGCAAAATTTGACCTCGAGCTCGACTCGAGTTTGGTCAAACTCGAGCTCGAGTCGTGTTTTGATTTGAGCGCTCGCGAGCCGCTCGATGTGTTTGCAACACTAGTAGAGCGTACATGAGCGCATGTGTGGTCAGGGGTCTGGATTGTAGATTTTTTTTTTGGATAATTTATTGTCTTACAAAATTTCATCAACTAATTAATATTAACAAGATATTTTTTTTTATGTTAAACAATAATTATATTTAAAACTTAAACATAACACACTCGGATGTCAAATGACACAATTAGAGCTAGAACAAAGTTTGGATCAACCCTCTTGATATTTCATAGGCAACTGGTGGGGTACAAACAACAACAAACAAAAAAAAATCCATAAAGAAGACTAAAAGTCAGACATAAGTTGATTGAAACAAAAACAGAAGAAAAAAAAAAAAAAACCACAACATACACCTTTTCGATACACTAAAGTCCTCATCACTGTCGTCCAAATATTCTCAACCTCCCAATGAAAACAACTGTAGACGATCCGTAGAAAGATAGGATCAAAGCACCCGACACAAATCTAGAAACTCCAAACTCCATAACTTACCAGGCTATGACTAACTTAACCAGAATCTATAAGGCCTAGCCCTCCTTCTAAACGGACCACCACCGAAAAGCAGCTTTGGGACTCGAGAACCGCCGTCTCCCCTCCAACAACAACCAACACAACACATGCTAGAAAGGAGTTGTCCTTCTCAGCCCCAGAGAACCGGACAACCTAGAGAAAATCACAGTGTCAGCGCTAGGGCCAACCACCATGAGGACAACAACCTTCACCGACACCTCAACCACACGCCCGAGACAACGACCAGATCCACCAGACCCACTCACCAGGGGGAGGAGCTTCGAACCGGGAATCAAGTTTGACGCCAAGGCCGCGCGGATAATACCTGCCCAGGAGTTAAACATCTCCAAGGACAAGAAGGAGGAGGAGTAACAACGACGAGGAAGAGGCAATCCTAGAGCAAGGGTTTACCATTTAATTATGGAATTAAGGAAAAACAGGATATGGTTTGGTGATATAAATAATTTGTTTCGTCCAAAATATTTTGCATTTGCTTATTTACAAATTCAAACTCGGCCAGCTCTTTGATGATATTTAAAAGAGCGCTTGTTAACAATCACATAACTTTTAACATATCTTCTATATTCGAATGGGCCATCAAAAACTCGTCCCTCCATTTTGTTGCAATAGTGTCAAAAATCAATTAAGTTATCTTGCAATAACAACTAGGTTCTTCCCTTCCTACAATCATCTTATTGTACTCGCATTCATGGTTAAAGATTTTGTCTTTGATCTTTTTCAGTTGGAAAAATATCTACAACGGTTAATTTTCAACTAAATTACAATTGAAAAACGTTCTTCACATCATCATTATCAGTCAACTCACTGACTTCTTTTCATAGAGCGCAATGTACGTAAGATAAAGAACTGTGAAGGAATGATAAACAAAATGTAATAAAAGTTAGTATACTTTTGTAAGTGTGATGTGATGTTAATAAATTGATTTTGATTTTTTTTAATTGTTGAAGAGTTAAATAAAAAATATTTTATGGAGGTCTAGATTGTCGTCCAAATTATTTTTAGGAGCGATTCAACATTAATTCTTTTTCTCTATGACGTCTAACTCTCTAATCGAAAAGAAAAAAGATACCTAAAACCCAAATCCACCAAAGCCTCGTCGCTGCCGTTGCCCCCTCTCTTCCGGCAATTGGCCGCTTCGATCACTAGGCCGGCGCAGGCTGAGGCACGGTTGGGGCGCTCTATTCCACCTCGACCGAAGCTTTGTGGGCGACATGGTCGTCGGTGGATCTCGCCAGTCAGCATTTCTCCTGGACTCCGGGAGGGGTCGCCACTTGACCTGCTCCGCTCCAGCTGTAGGAGTCTACTTTGCCGTAATGTGCCCATCGGTATGTGCACTTCTCTCTCTGCTTCTTGGAGGCTGCTGGGCTCTGTTTGTCCACACCGATGTGCCCAGACCGGCTGGGTCGTCGTGTCGACGAGCTTCATGACATCTCGCAGTCTTGAGCGGGGCCTTCCTAGAGTCTTTTCCCGATCCCTTCGGCGTTTTGGCGGCTCCCCCTCATTTCCCCGGTGCCAACATCCAGCAGAGTCCAGATCTTGTCTGAAAATCTGAAGGTTTGAATGACCGCAGTTTTTGGGTTTGAAGTCTAGCTGTGTTGCTCATGTGGTTTTCTTAGCTATGGTTTGGGATTTGGTTGTCAGTTGGATGGTTGTGTGGTTCTTCTACTAGGATTAGAGGATGTTTTACTCTATTTTGTGCATTAGGTGTATGTCGTTTTTCTTGTTTGCTTTTGGTTTTGTTTGGTTAAGTCGTGACGTCAGACATCCGCCTCCTTCTTAGAGTTTATCTCTTTTATCGAGTTGTGTTTTTTTGTTTGGTTTAGGTCTCTTTGATGAAAGTTGTACCCTTTGGACACCGTTCCAACTTCCAACGGGTAGGTCAAGTTTTTTTCGTTTCCTTATTGGAGATTTATCTCCTTTATGAGTTGTATTTTTTGTGTTAGTTTAGGTCTTCTTGATAAAAATTGTATCCATTTGACGCTGTTTGTATTCTTTTGAATTTTTCAATTTTTGAATATAAATGTCGTTCTGACGGAAAAAAAAAAAGAAAAGAATCAAACATAAATTTCGAAAGGAGCTTTAGGAATTTATATCATAAAGTTTCCTCGTTGGTTAGTAATTCAGTTGACTTTTTATCTCGAATGTTTTAGCATAAACCACCGCGTTTCTGTATTACAGCCTGCCCAAGTGAACGAACAACGTTGGTAGATTTCAGACTCTTGACTTGTCTTTAGACCTTTATTTGACATGGCGATTTCTAATTGGCCCTTTATAATACTATTTATTTCATCCACGCACACACATTCTTCGCAGCGCGAACACATACTCTCTCTCTCTCTCTCTCGGTCGGTCATGAGATTTCGGATCTGATTAAGGTAAGAAGTAAGAACTACGATACGCACTTCCTTTATTTATTTCTATTTTTCCTTTTGATCTTGAGCTCGATTGTGCTTAATTTCGTTTCGCGATTGAGATCCTGATTCCTTGTTTTTCGATTTTTACTTCTCCGTGTTTCTTAATTTAGGGCAAATTAGTTTTTTGCAGGAGATCTTGAGGGCTTAGTTTCGCAGACTGTTTATCTATGGATTCCTTGAATTGATGATGCTGAAGCTGTGCGAAAACCTCGTACTTTCTGAATCCCAGATTCAATTTTTGGGACATCTCTTTTAGGTCTTTATTTAAGAGAAAAAAAAGGAAAGGAAAAAGGTGTAAGAATTCTCTATGGATAGCAACAAAGACGAGGCCGTGAGATGCATCAACATTGTCAAGGAGGCAATCGCCGCCGGCAACAAGCAAAAAGCACTCAAATTCCTCGGAATCGCTCGCCGCCTTAATGAGAATCTACCTGTTGACGATCTTCTATCCGCGTGCGAGAATCTTGACCCGTCGTCTTCCTCCTCTAGTCCGTCCAGTGGCGTGAAGAAAAGTGTTCCTGACAAGAAGGATGAGGATGCTTCCGTCAATGGTGACAGGGTTTTGAATGGCGAGAGAAGCTACACGGAGGAGCACGTGCACATGGTCCGGCAAATCCGGACTAAAAAGGATTATTACTCGATTTTAGGCCTGGAAAAGAATTGCACGGTTGATGAAATCAGGAAGGCGTATAGAAAGCTGTCCCTGAAAGTCCATCCGGACAAGAACAAGGCACCCGGTTCTGAGGAGGCTTTCAAGAAGGTCAGCAGGGCCTTTAAATGCTTGAGCGATGATGATTCCAGGAGACAGTATGACCAAACTGGCTTAGTCGACGAGTTTGAGCACAACCAGCAGTATCAGGTCAGGAGGAGGAGGAGAACAGGCAACAATTTTTTTGATGATGAGTTTGACCCTGATGAGATTTTCAGGGCTTTTTTCGGCCAACGTGATGCGTTCAGGCACACACATGTTTACAGGACCCGGGCGAATAACAATGGTGGTGCCCACCATAGGGAGGATTTTGGGGGTGGGGGTGGGGGTGGTGAGGGTCGGAATTTCATGCTTTTGGTGCAGTTGATACCGTTTCTGGTAATTATTCTGCTGGCCTACCTCCCGTTCTCAGACCCCGAGTACTCGTTGCAGAAGAACTATTCGTATCAGTTTAAGAAGGCGACCAGCGAGCATGGGGTCGAGTTCTTTGTCAAGTCAGCTGAGTTTGACAGGAATTATCCAGTCGGGAGCCCAGGCAGGAATGAGATCGAGAATAGTGTGTTGAAGGATTACAAGCACATGTTGGGGAGGTACTGCCATATGGAGATGCAGAGGCGCCATTGGAACAGGCACTTTCCGACTCCTCACTGTGACAAGCTCGAGAGTTTCGCGTCGTGAAGGTACTCGAGTTTTTTCTGTTTTCCATTTTTAAAATGATTCAGTTTTTAATGTGCCTCAACCCGGTTTTTGTTGTGGTGGCCCTAGTGAGTACAATAGAGAGTATGCATTTATATGTGGAAACATAATTTATGTGCTCAAGTAAATTGCATATGGAATCATAGTGCAAGTTGCACTTTCATTTATTTATTTATTTTTTCTTTTTGAAAAAAAATGCACCTAATTTCTATTTAGCTATGGCTTTCACTGTTTTATGGTTCTAACATCGTAAAGTGGAGTGTGAATATTTCTGTTATCGTGTCCAGTGGAAATATAACATTCTTGAAAGATTTACTTTTATGAGGAAGTTGTGCGTGGGACTTGTAAAGCAAGCCTGTTTTCCTACGATCTGTTTTATAATTTTTAACCTAAAGATGGATAAAGAAATTCGGAAAAACAAATGTCATTTCACTTCATTGCAGGAATGGTTTTGAAAGCTAGTGGGCTTTATCATCTTAAATGTTCAGAGAAAGTTTTTCTGGTTTGATTAATTTCAATTGAGAAGCTTCTTATGATCAGACATGTTAGGATGAAGCAACCTCAAAATCTTCAAGTTATTTTAATTTACCCTGTTGCTATCACCTGAAGTTATTTGTTGCCGCTAGATTATTTAGCAGTCAATTTCGAGAAAAAGCTATCATTAAGATTGTATTTTATTTATTTATTCTTTTTGAATTTGAGAGGTTTTGGAATAACCTGACCAAAAAAATTCTGTTTTCAAAATCCTTGAAAAGGAAATGCAACTACGATTGTAATAGGTTTGGGCAAAGCCTTATAGTGAATAGCATGATGTTAGAATACAAAAATGAGGCCTTAGTGAACAGAGTTATGCGACGAGCCACCTCATAATTTGTCATAATCAATAAGTGAAATTTTTACTTTCCCTGTGCTCGGTCGTTGGTTTATCCAGTTTAATGAATTGCCCAATTTAAGATAAATTCACTACTGGATAAACCTATCCCTGAAAATCTCAAAGTATTTAGTTTTTAATATTGCTGCTCCTCCCCTTGTAATACTCATGATTGGAAATATTCATATCCAATGGTTGTCGATTGACAGTTAGGCTAACCAAATTTAATTTTGGACTCATATCCGATGATTGACATTTAGCATAATCAAGTACATATTTGGACTGTTTTCTGCCCAATTTGTGAGTGTCTATAAGCCAGTATTTGTTGAACCATATAAAGCCAGTTCTATTTTTTTCATTTTTTCTGGTTCTATTGTCTAAGTTGCCTGTCCTCTTCTTGTCTAGGTAAATGATGGCTTCGATACACCCTGTATTACACTGCAGATTAGTTAACATATGATTTATAAGCATAAGCTGAGCTTCCATTTTTTTCTTTAATTTTGTGAGTCCTTCAAAAATGCGTTCATGTTGATTGGAAAATTATTTGAGCTTGAGGAACATTCTATATTCATGGTAGGAAGTTTGCTGTGCAGAACTTTGTTGGGCTACTTTTGCATGTTAACTTACACGGGGGCTCATTTTTCTTGGTCAATTTTGTGGTATGTGAAAAGATTTGCAAGTGCTAACTTTAAATTTTGCCTGGTCGTGCGAACAGATTTTACATGTGGATAACGCTCCCAGGTGGGAATTCACATGAAGTCTAATTATATCCTCGTTTGGAACTCATTGCTGAGAGGCGAAGAAAACTCGATCAAGGTTTCATTGTCTGAATTCCGATAGTTGACTTTGTAGTCAATGCACTTTTTGCTAGTGGAGTATGGTCCAGGGATCTGCCTTAGGGAGGATTTTTGGGCCACACACAGACCATGCGGAATTTTTCCGTTTAATTTCTGTATATTATTTTGCAGCTATCACGACCGCCATGCAATGAACCATAGCATTATATAGATAGCAAAAAACATGGATTATTTTCAGCCCTTTTGATGTGTTGGAACATGTTCGATTTTTGTATACCGGTGCTAGCCACAAAACCATGCATGATCTGCAGGGGGGTTCTTGAATGGTGCTGTGGCTATTTCAGCTGTTCTCCCAACGGAGAAAAAAGGGACCTTCGAAATCAAACTTACAGAACACCCGCTCACTATCCCACCTAAAGTTCACCTCTGAAATGTCTTATAACTGGTTTTGTGAACATGACCATGACCATGATGAAATTGTGTCCAATTACAAGTTTCTATAAAATTATAATGTACTGCCATATATTTTGCGCCAAAAGAAAAGTAAGAATTTTAGGGGAAGTTTAAGAATGAATCAAAATCCAAAATCATTATTAGTTGAAATGGGCCGTACAGCCAAGTGTAAATAGGCATACTTAGGATCTGTTTCATTGTTTATTTGATGTTTATTCATAGTTTATGTTTGGTATATTAGAATTTCACGATTTGTTTTAATGTTTATTTGACATGATCGATTTTGTTATTTTATATTACAAAGACATAAATTATATATATTTACTTATATGTTACGGAGATGTAAATAGTATATATCTACTTATATGTTATATACATAGTTATATGTTATAAACCAGACACAAACTGAATTTTGGTTGAGCAAGAAAATAAAATTGTAATCTAGTATGTAATTTTTTTGTTAGATCCTGATGGGAGCCCTTATAATATGTATTACATATCAATAATGTGCATATTTTATGTATAAAATTAAGTAAGAAATATAAACAAAAAGTACAAACAAAATTCAAACATCACAATTGTGGTTCGATAATGTTACGTAAGTAAAAGTGCAACAAATACTGAAAAAATACTAAGTATAAGCGCAAGATATACTGAAAATATTCTTTGCCCAAACACGCAATTGGCGATAATCTCGGACTTCGAGGAGGACAACTAAAGGAAGTCATCGTCGTCGTTGGGGCCCGATGAGGAAGCCGTTCACAGCTGCCCTCGATCAGTTGGATTTGATGTGTTGTCGTCACCGACACGGATCGAGAAACTACAAACTCCATACCTCATTAGGCCATGGTTAACTCGACTACAAACTACAAACCCCGACAAAATGATTCCGTAACGGAAACTTAGCATTTCCCTCTTTTAGTACTACAATTCTACATAAGCCAAAATTATTATTGGTACAAAAAATGTATTAATAATACAATAGAGAGATAACCAAAAGTCAATATGAGGGGCAATTACGTAATTACACAACCACCTCCCCTCGACCTCCCATGTTCATACACGACCCCACTTTTACGTCCGTACAGCAACCCACATAGCAACAATAAATAATTTAATAATAATAATAATAATAATGGTAAAAAAGAAAAAAAAAAAAGAAAAACAACAAGCACTAAAAAGAAAAAGAGCAGATCCAAAATTGGGGGCGGGTGGCAGATCCTCAGTCGCCGGAATCGTCGTCTCCGCCGAAGATGGAGACCCTGTTGTAGAGGAGGAAGAGGACGAGGGCGAGGAAGAGGGCGACGCCGACCGGAGATCCCGTGGCGCGGTGGATGGAGTTGGGGCCGGCGGCGGAGAATATCCCGGAGACGAAGGAGCCGGTGTCGGAGGAGAGGAACTGTATGGTGAGGAGGAGGGCGATGGGGAGGAGGAGGAGGCCCACCGGGCTCAGCACCTCCGCCACGAACTCCGTCACGGCCTCCCCGTGCTCCCCCACCAGCGCCGGAATCACCATCACCAGCACCACCACTGCCGCCAGGATGGCCGCGTGCGGAGGTCCGGCGCGGCGCTCTTCAATCATCCCTGTTTCTCTCTGTTTGTGTTGCGTGTATGTGGTGGCTTTGGGTTTTGTTTTTTTTTTTTCCCTCACT